CCATGGGAGTAAAAGACCTGTACTCAGAAAATTATAAGACATTGAAGAGAGAAACTAAATAAGATACAAATAAATGGAAGCATATACCTTGCTCATGGATAGGAAGAATTAACATTGTTAAAATGTCTACACTACCCAAAGCAATCTATAGATTTAGTGCAATCCTTTTCAAAATACCTATGACATTTTTCACAGGACTAGAACAAAGAATCCTAAAATTTATATGGAACCATAAAAGACCTTGAATAGCCATGACAATCCTGAGAAAGAAGAACAAGGCTGGAGGTACCATGATACCTGATGTGAAACTACTACAAGGCTATCTTAATCAAAACAACATGGTACTGACAGAAAAACAGATACATAGATTAATGGGAAAAAATAGAGAGTGCAGCAATAGATCCACGCCTATATGGTCATTTAATCTATGACAAAGAAAGCAAGAATTTACACTGGGGTAAAGACAATCTACTCAATCAATAGTGTTGGGAACACTGGACATATACATGCAAAAAAATGCAACTGGACCACCTCCTTATGCTATATACAAAAATAAGCTCAAAATGGATTAAAGAGTTAAAAGTAAGACCCCAAACCATAAAACTCCTAAAGAAAATATAGGAAGTAAACTCTCAGACATTACCCTTAATAATATTTTTACTGATGCATCTTTTTGGGAAAGGGAAACAAAAGAAAAAATAAACAAATGGGACTACATCAATCTAAAACTTTTTTTCACAGCAAAGGAAACCATCAACTAAATGAAAATACATCCTATTGAATGGGGAAAGATATTTGCCAATGATACATCTGATAGGGGGATAATATCCAAAATTTATAAGAACCTTATACAACTCAACACCAAAAAAACCACAAACAATCCAAGTAAAAAATGGGCAGCAAACCTGAAGAGACATTCCTCCAAAGAGGACATACAAATGGCCAATAGACAGAAGAAAAGATGCTCAGCATCACTAATTATCAGAGAAATACAAATCAAAACCACAGTGAGATACAACCTCACTCCTATTAGAATGGCCATCATCAATAAATCAATAGACAAGTGTTGGTGAGGATGTGGAGAAAAGGGAACCCTCATGCACTGTTGGTGGGATTGCAAATTGGTTCAGCCCCTATGGAAAACTGTATGGAGGGTTCTCAAAAAATTAAAAATAGAGCTATCATGTGGCACAGCAATTCCACTCCCGGGTATTTAATCAAAGAAATCCAAAACACTAATTTGAAAAAATATATGCACCCCTATGTTTACTGCAGTGGTATTTACAATAACTAAGATATGAAAACAATTGAAATGCCCATCAATAGATGATTGGATAAAGAAATTGTGGTACATTTATACGATGGAATATGACTCAGTCATAAAAAAAAAGGAAATTTTACCATTTGCCACAACATGGATCAACCTACAGGATATTATGCTAAGTGAAATAAGTCAGACATAGAAAGACAAATATCATACTCGTATGCTCTCACTTATATGTGGAATTTAAAGAACAAAATAAATGAACAAATAAAACAGAAACAGACTCATAAATAGAGAGAAGAACCCGATGGTTGCTAGGTGGGAACAGGGTTGGAAGAATGGGTGAAAAAGGTGAAGGGATGAGGAAATACAAATTGGTAGTAACAGAACAGTCACAGGGATGTGAAATACAGTATGAAGAATATAGTCAATAATTTCAAAATTATGTCAGATGGGTACTAATCTTATCAAGGGGATCATTTCATAAATTATATAAATGCCTAACCACTGTGCTGTACACCTGAAACTAATATAAAATAATATGGAATGCCAACTATAATTTAAAAATAAATATAGTCACAAGATGTAGAGTACAGCATAGAGAATATAGTTAATGGTATTGTAATAGCTATGTATGGATTACCACACATAGTGGATTATCACTCAGTGAGATGTGTATATGTCTAATCATTATGTTGTTTTCTACACATTAAACTAATAATAAAAAATAAAATAAAATATTAATTTTGATATACAAGTAAATTTTTGTCTTGAATTATATTTTACTGTATTTTGGAAAGGAAGGATGACCATTTCAGGTACAACTCAACCAAAGACAGGATTTTGCCAAAATACTTCGTTAAATCATTACATTATTTTAATGACTTGTTTTAGCAGTTCATATGTAGAAAAACATAATATTAGAAGTAAAAAAAATTATGGGCATGTAGAGCTTAAAATAATCAGAGTTCACTGAACTGGAATAGGTGGTGTGGCCCTGTGATTATTGGACAGGATGCTAAATGAGTACAGTGTTCCCTGATTTTGTCTAATTAGGCTCCTATTGCCTCTGTGTAGAACAGAGTTCGTCAATAGAGAAAATCATGTTTTGCTTTAGATAATTTCTCGTACAAAAATAAAGAACATTTACAGCTGCCAGCGTTCTTTATAGGTTGCTCAGCAGACAGCCTAACTTCCAGCTACAACACTCAGAGTACCTACATTTCCATCAGAGAAAACACGTCTTTAGATTATGCATTATATTAGTTTGTTGTTGTTTTTCTATATGTGAAACTAATATAATATTGTATGTCAACTGTAATTCAAAAAAATTTTAAAGTTTATTGGGGTGACAATGGTTAGTAAAGTTACGTAGGTTTCAAGTATACAATTCTGTAATAGATTATCTATTATATAATATATATCACATTATGTGTTCACCACCCAGAGTCAGTTCCTCCATCACCGTATATTTTATTCCTTTTACCCTCATGTACCACTCCCCCTTCTCCCTACCCTCTGTTTTTAATCATACTAATTAGTGTCTGTGTGTAAAACTTTAAATTTGTGGTTTACTGTTAAAATGTTATTTTTTATTTCCACCATCTACTATGTATGTCTTGCAATCTCATGCTGACTGAACCAGGTTCTTGACTTCTTATCAATGCAATCCATAAATATATGTTGTTCAGAAGGCTTATACTCCCCTCAATATTAATGTAGGATTGTCTGTCTTTATTTCTATAACCTGAGTAGAAAAAATAAGGCTTTGGCCCTTACCACACAGTTATTTATTTATTTATTTATTTATTCCAGTTGACATTCAATATTATATTAATTTCAGGTATACAGTGCAGTGGTTAGACATTTACATAACTTACAAAGTGATCCCCCCGATAAGTCTAGTACCCACCAGACACCATACATAGTTATTACAATACTATTGACTATATTCCCTATGCTGTACTTTACATCCCTGTGACTACTGTATAATTACGAGTTTGGTAATGGATGGAGTAGTATTTATTGGTTTGTGATTTTATGTAATTCTGACATTTTGTTTCAGCAAAATCTTCCTCAATTTAGCAGGGTAAGGGTAGTTAGAAACGGAATTTGCTTTTGCCTGTAGGCTGTTGTTGCACCCTCTCTACAGCACTTCTTTCCTCTGTTTTAGATATTCACAATAAAGAAATATCCAGGACACTGTCTATGACAAGTGCGGGACAGATGTATGAACATTCTTTTCTGCAGTATTTGCTTATTTCATTGTGCAAGGAAGCATGGATCATGCATTGCAGAATTAAATAGTTTATATATTTAGAACCCATAGTAATAGAATATGGATGCTACATATTAAATAACTTTTAATAGATGTTATTCTCAGTGACATTAACATTATGGACTAAATAATAGTTCATAAATGTCATGTATTAAATAGTACACATTTAATAGCATACTATGCATTGTATAAATGTTATTTAATGATAATAATGCATTTATTTTTTTCCTGTTTTATTGAGATATAATTGACATATATTGTATTAGTTTTAGGAGAAACAATGATTTGATATATGAGGTTTGATTACAAAATACAGTGAATGTTTAAATTAAAATAATTTATTACAGTAAAAGACACATTGCCATTAATCCCCCTCAAAATACCCGCCGTCTCTTGGAACACACTTATCCCATTGTTCTTGCCACTTTCTGAAGCAGTTCTGGAAGTCCTCTTTTATGAGTGCGCTGCTGTGGTTGCCTCGAAGTCCTGAATCATTTTGACTTTGGGGAAGAGCCAGAAGTCACATGGTGCCAGATCCAGTGAATAAGTTGGATGAGGACACACTGTAATGCTTTTATTTGACAGAAATTGGCATACCAGAAGCGATGTGCAACACGGAGTGTTGTCATGATGGAGGATGAAGTAAAGGCACTCATGAAAGAGGATTTCCAAAACTGCTTCAGAAAGTGGCAAGAACAATGGGATAAGTGTGTTTGAAGTGAGGGGGGAGGATTTTGAGGGGGATTAATGGCAATGTGTCTTTTACTGTAATATTTTTTTTATTTAAACATTCACTGTATTGTTTGATCACACCTCATATGTATATATTGCAAAATGATTACAAGTTTAATTAATGTCCATACAGTTATAATTATTTTCTTATGATGAGAACTTTTAAAGTCCACTCTCTTAGTAGCTCTCAGATGTATGACACAGCCGGGTTCACTACAGTCACATGCTGTTCATCACTTCCCCGGGCTTATTTTCTTGTAACTGGGAGTTTGTGCTTTCTGACCACCTTCAACCATTCCACCTATGAATGTCTGATAATTAACTGTAAGGTTTGAAATATAATTTTACTGTTTCATAAAAATACAAAACTTATGTGGATATATGTCTCAATATATATATGCCTCATATACTGTGATTGTACTACAAAAGATCATTTTTCAATTTGCTACAATATTACTGGGAGGGAATTAGAAGACTTGGGTCATCCCTGACATCTTATAAGTGACTTTGGTAATTATAATTGGTAATGAGAGGGGAGAATACATTTTCAGATGTATGTATCTATAAAACAAATACCTGTGATAACTTTATTTATTGTTACCAGGGTTTTGAAAATATTCATTTCTTTCCACACTTAAAGAGATAGAAACTTTGATTTTCTTTCCAGAGATATGAATAATAGATATACTCTAAGCATTGAATATGGAAATAGAGAAAATACACACTTCAAGAATTTGTCCTACTATTTTTATGGAGAAAGTTACTTTTGAGCATATTTTTCATTGCCTCCAGAACATCTTTATTTTGAAAGCTGTAGATGAGTGGGTTGACTGTAGGTGTGAGGATGGTATAGAATAACGCCAGGAGCTTATCCTGGTCTGGAAGGTGGTATGATTTAGGTCTCATGTATGTGAAAATAAATGGCCCATAGTATGTTATGACCACAATCATGTGAACAGAACAGGTAGAAAATGACTTTGTCTGTGCCTCTGGTGATTTCATTTGAAGGATAGTAAGGAGAATTTGGACACAAGAAGCAAAGATAAGGGAGAAAGGAGTGAGTAGGAAATTGATGCAACTTACATAAACTCCCCATTCATATTTTGTCGTGTCTACACATGACAATTTCAAAATGGCAGGGACCTGACAGAAAAAAAGTGATCAATGGCTCTTGAGCCACAGAAGGGGAAGTGAAGTGCATAAGCTCTGTGAACTGTGGAGTTGATAGTCCCAACAAGCCAGCACCCTGTAGCCATGAGGAGGCTGACATCGTCATTCATAAGAATTGGATAGTGCAGTGGGTGACAGATTGCTACATAGCAATCATAGGACATTGAGACCAGAAGGAGGCACTCGCCACCAAGGAGGGTGAGGGACAGAAATATCTGAAAACCACAACTTGCAAATGAAATAGTTCTGCTGCCTGACAAAAAGTCAGTGATGATTTTGGGAACAATGTTGGAACTATGCAAGATATCCATAAAAGAAAGATGTCTGAGCAGGGAATACATTGGAGTATGGATCCGTAAGTCCCTGCAGATAAGGAGGATTATGACTGTATTTTCTGTAATGGTCATAATAAATATGATGACTATAAAGAAGAAAACCAGACTTGTTCGGGAAGAAGAGAAGTGTCCCAAAAGAATGAAGTTACTGCTGAATGTGTGATTCCCAGTTTCCATCATGAATTTCCTTTTGTACCTAAAAAGAGAAAAATAAACAAACAAGAGCTAAATAGATAAGGAAGAAAAAGTGTGTAAATCTCAATCTTATTTACATTTAGCTATATAATGAAATGAGAGGAAGTGATGCATATTTTGGAATTAAAGCCAAAGAACTCTCCATCAGCCTTTGAAGTTAGCATGTTTTATAAGGTGGACATTTATTTGTTCTAATCAACAGATAATATGCAGTATACTGAGTGGGCTGTTAACTCCACATAGAGTCTCAAAGCTCAGTCTTTTCTCAAATGTCACCTTCTCCAGAAGACTACTTTTGAACACTCTATTTAAATTCTTAGTACTCTCAACCACTTGCTCACACTTTCCTGATCCTCCATACTGTGCTGTCTTTTGATTTCTTTTTGCAAATAACTTTTTATCTTTTACCATGTTAAAGAATAAACCTATGAACTATATTTATTGTTTATTGTCATTCTGGAGCGGCAGAATTTCAGTGTCACCATGGGAGATCTTAGTTTTGTTCCTCATATGAGGCAAATGGCTAGAACAGTGTCAGGTACATTGTTCAGTATTTGTTGAGTACATGTATAAATGAGCAACAGAATTCAATTTTCTTTCTTATTTATCGTGTAGCTAAAGCTTACAAAATTTATTATTTCTATGTCTTCCAAATATAATAGGTAATGAAATTCTGTTAAAAAATAAGCTTAATCTAGATTGTATTTGAACCATCACCTATATTTAGGTGATGTTTATTCAGTCAAAAAAAACAGTCAATATGATAATATATTTTACTTTGGCCAGTTTTATTAACTTCTATAAATTATACTATATTAATTATTTATGTAGGGAATCATACTTCCTTTATGATATTGTTTGTACATGGTTAGTGCTTACTTAACTGTTTGCTTTACTATTATTTGTGCAAACAGTATGTCTGATCTATCCCTCAATATAAATACACACACACACACACACACACACACAGACACACACACACAGTGCCAAAAAATGTATACACATTTTAAGAAAAGAAAACTGTATTAAAATTTTAATACTCAATATGTACCAATATGAAAGATGAATACAAGTCATGTTTGACTTCTGCAATTATAAGAGGTGCTCAAAATGGTTACCATCAGCATCCAGACACTTCTGATTACAGTGAACTACTGCTTGAGCAACATTGACCAAAGTGTCCACTTGTATATATATATATTTTTGGCACCCCTGGTGTGTGAGTGTGTGTGTGTGTGTACATATATTGCAATTTATAAAAATACAATCCAGGTTTCTTGCTGTCAATAAATGGCAAGGTCATCAAAAATAAATAAAAAATATAAAACAAGTTATTTACCAAAATTAGCAACTATTTGTAAGTTTCAATAAAATAACCCTTTTTTTCACCTTTTGGGAAATAAATGTAAAAATATGTCACTGATAAAATAATTTTTATTTTTAAAACTTTTATTTTTGTTGACATTGAAATTTTTTATTATGAAACAAAACTCTTAATTCTATTTTTTTTTAAGATTTTTATTGGGGAATTGGGGGAATGGGAACAGTGCTGGGGAATTGGGGGAAGGGGAACAGACAAGTTGCTGCCATTTTGTTCTTCAGTCTAGTTGTGGAGGACGTTGCTCCACTAGCCCAAGTTGGCACCATCATTGCGCTCTTCCCGGGCGAGGCAGATCAGTCGCCGGCTCCTGGACGGCTGCTCACTGCAGCTGCTGGCCGCTCATGCTGGCTGCTGGCTACATACGGTAGCCCATGGCAACCCACTGCCACAGGGGCTGCAGCCTACGCCGTTGCCGGCAACTCATGGCAGCCCAGCTCCAGGTTGAACTGTTGTTCAGCATCTTAGCTGTGAAGGGCAGTGTCACTGGTCCTCATATGTGGGATCCAAACTGGGGCCCTCTAGCATCCCAAGCCAGTTCTTAACCATCGCGCTACTCGGCTGGCCCTCTTAGTTCTATTTTTAATTCCCTAGACTATTAACACTGCTTTGCTATGATTGCAAGAATTGTAAAGGTCAACCTACGAATGAGGTTGGCAGATGAATGCCTGTGTAAATATTTCTGGCTGTCTTGACTGGTTTAACCCATAGCTCAGTAAAATGTGCTATAGGCATAGATTCAGATTTAAGGGCAGTGGTGCCCCCATGTACTGGTTGATGATAAATAAGTCTCTAAACTCAGTGATTATTACTGACAATTCAAATTCAGTATCACTGTAACGAAAGTTGTTGACTTTTTCCTACTGCCTAGAATCACTTTCTCACTCTGGTTTTGCTTTTTCCATTAATGATTTACCTTGTTATAGTCATCCTCATTCAAAAAGTAATATTCCATTTTAGTGTTAAGAAGTATGAACAATGTTTATTTACAATTGAATCCCCTTTACTTAGCAAAGTCCTTGGCTCATTGTAGGTTCTCAATAAATTGTTGGTTAAAAAAATTATTGATTTATGTTTCTATGGCCTCTGACATCAAAAGTTTTCAACAATGAATTAACTATACTTACATTTTTAGAGAGTCTGTGTTGTCTCCACAAGAATGTCTATATTTTGTCTTCAAATATTGGAAGCACTCTATGATAGATTCCCTAATGTCTTTATCATCCTACTTCTCCTTCCTTCTCCCAACTTTCATGAGTCACCTGAAGTTTCTACATCTTTCATGACTCTTTGCCTAACCAGTTAACTAGGGGTCTGGAATATCCTCCCATGAGGTGCAATGATGGATAAAATGACACCTATGTCATCCAGGATCTTGAATGAAATCTATTCTTGAATCCAAAGAGGAATATTCTAGTGGTGTGCTTCCTCAGTCTAAGTTAAAAAGTAGAATAAACACATGTCCCATGTCCCGTAGTCTCTCCCACATGTGTGCAACTCTGATTCTAGGTAAAGTCTCTTTCTCTCGATCTGACATCAAATACTCCTTATTTAGTACTGCTACTTGTGAGAAAAGACATGGAACACACAGTTTACACTCCTTTATTCTCTAGAAGCTTGGAAGCTAATTACAGAAGATGCTGTCATTTTTAGAGGTCATTTTTAGCTATCAACAGAGCCATATCCCAACCCGCCCTCCCAGTAAAAAAAAAGGCCTTTGCACACTTTACTCAAATTCACTCAATTCATTCCTACTACTTTGCCTTTATCTAGATTCTCTGAATGCCCTGTGTATCTGTTAATTTTTACCTAACCAGATTCAAAACTATTTTTCTTTTCACTACTAGATCTCTCAATATATCGATAAAAGTCATAGATTATTTATTTACATTTAGATTTAACTAAATGAAAATTTTTCACTAATATTGATAAGACTACACATTCATTCAATGATTTATATGCTTCTACATTGTGTTTACATTAAAATTTTGACTGTAAGACAAAAGACAAAAACTCCAAATTATTTCTTCCTGAAAAATGTTTATTTTGAAAAGTGGTTGATATGGAAATCCTGAGGAATATGAAGCCTGATGTGCCCCTTTATATTTTATACTATATGATAGTGCTGCATTTATCTTTTGAATGTTTCTAAAAACCTATAAAATGAATGACCCACTTGATATAACGATATGCTCTATCACAAAACTTCAAACATCAGACATACTTGGTGTGCAACTGATTCAAGATAACTGGATGCTATTGATAATTCACTCAACTGTAATGCAATTTCATAGAAGAGACAGAGTCAGACATTGAACTGCCCTGAATATGGATGGGGTACAACCATTACTTGTTTAAAGGAGTTCAAATGGAAAATGGGTACACTAAATGTATGATAGATGCTCCCTAGCCTAGGAGTGAGCATGCTATTGACTCGAATAATTATATTAAGAAAGTACAACATAATCTAAAATTTTCTAAATGCTTTGAAGAGATAAACAAGAAAATTTAATGCAAACACAGTATCTTTAAAATAGTTCATTTTTATGTCTCATTGTAACACAAAATACCAATGGGACATGAATTTATGTCTGAAATGAATGTATACAAAATCAGGATGATAATGGTATGTGCCTAACAGGGTTGTTTTAAAGGTTAAATGGGACACATTAAACAACACACACAGGCATGCACCCATAAACATCCATGCACAGGTACACACACACGTAGAACAGCCTAGCATATAGGAAATACTCATAAATAATAATTGTTATTGTTGTTTTAATATATTTTTATTGTTATTACTTTTATAATTACTGTGTTATTATTTCTATCATCATCATCATCATCAATCACCATTTTTAAAAATTTTAAGTAAGCATTTAAGCTGTTACATACTAGTGACAGAGAAAAAGAAAAGGAGAGAGAGGATACTCAGGATCTGAGAGAATCTAACTAAGTACAGCAAAGTGCAATAATTGGCTGTGTGGGAAGCACACCCTGCACTCACTCACTGCCTGGTTACCTTGGACCAGGTGCTGTCTTCAAAGGAGCAATTCAGCCTGTGGAATGAGCCTGTGTGGCCTGGCTTCCTCACCCAGGCACACACCTACAGGCATGTGTGAGAAAGTACAGCAAGTTCCCAATTTTGAAATCGATCACCTGAGCTGCTGACAATTTCATTTCATACATGCCATTTGACATTTAATTGACTGTTTTACCCTTCTAACATGTCATGGCAATGTATCATAACCCCAAGAATCATCTGAAAGTGATCATCCATCTACTTCTCATTGCTGTCATTCCAGTTGAAGGAAATTCTGGGGTTAGTGCCTCCCAGTGGCCTCACATTCACTGTGTCCAAGTAAGTCTCCTGAAACAGGGAGCAATGCCACTATTTACAACTAACTGCCCAAGCCAGAAATCCCGTCTCCTGATGCCTCTCTACCTGTACCCTCCTCCACATGCTTCTAATCCACCCATGTAAATGCCTCCCATGCATGAGTCACTCCTCCTGGTGCCACACAACACGTGTGCATGGTGGCCGCCCCCAAGTACCCCTTCTAACCTCTTTTCAGTGAACAGACCTGCATGGGATCAGCAG